GTTTTTTTTAAATTTCGGACATGGCTTTCCTCCCTCGGGCTCGCCTCAGGCTGGGAGCAGGCCCTGTGCAGGCGTGAGCTACAGCGGAGAGCGAATCCGGGTGAATGTATTTACTTCACCTGTGACTTTTCTGTCCTCTGCAGCGTGAAGTCTACCAACACCCAGCACCAGGGCTTTGGAAAGCTATGCGGGATGGAGACCAGCAGCATCACCCAGCACACCTGCTACCAGCCACCTAGGCCAAGGAAAAGCGAGCCCTGCCCGTGGGGACGGCCGGACCTCGTTAAACTGACAGCACAAACCCATCGGACAGCAATGAGTGACTGACTGCGCTGCAGACATGCACATTAAGTAGCCCCCGGGCTGGCTGTGTTCCCGTGGCAAGCGCTGGCCAGCTCGGCTACCCGGTTGTCTGTCGCTGACAGCTTCACTGCTGCTGTTGAAGAGCTTTCAGAAAGGTAAAGCAGACTGCAACAAGCCAAAACACTAACTGACGCAGCAATACGATAATCCCTTAAATTTTAAGGTAAGTTAAATTCCATACAAATCAAACTTCCAAAAATATTTGCAAACTCTGGCATATGGCTATGATACAGTATGTACAAATAAAATACCAGAATGGTTACATTTTATTGCTTTTTTCTTTTTTTTTTTTAAATTTGGTTAATGAGTTATACAGTAGCATATAAAAGGGAGTGAGAAGAGGCAAGAAGCAAGCATTGGCTTCTTGTCCTCTCAAAAGCCAAGGTTGGTTGGTTTGGTTTTTAAATACTATGTTTTCAAACATCACAGCAAAAGCATTTCCCTATTGGGTCATGTCTGCGTTACCCAAACAGGATGGAAGAGCAACAGTGAACGAAGCCTAGGCAATGGGTAACAGGGTTCTGTTTTGTACATTCCTTCACTAATCTGTACTTCCAGAATACAATTATTCATAAAATATCCAGTCTAAAGTGACATAAAAGTCAACAGTTATGAACCATCCTCCATATAAACCAAGGTTGAGTGAGGTGGGCAACTTTAGTTCACCAATCATGCAGAAAAGCCTCCCAACAATATTCGTGGTATTTGTGAGCAAAATCATCTGACTTGGCCCTAATCTAGCCTGCAAGCAAATGCCTTCAGCAAAATTAATTTTCTATGTTCCAGAAGGTTATAAACACACACTGTGTTTAGGATCCTCTAGTATAAACAAACCCATATGCTCCTCTGTAGTAAGGAAACCTCTCTCACAAGGCAGCTGTCAGCAGAAAGTGCCGATGCGACTGGACACTCCTGTCCCGCTTTTTTACATCCTTCTGTGGGTGAGAACACAAGAGGTAAAGGTACCAAGAAGTGATCACATTTGCATTAGTCAGGAAACAGCCTGCAAGCCTACTCCAGGCCTTCCCCACCCGCTATGCTCCTAGTAGCCACTCGTAGTAACCAGGAGCTTTACCAGGACAGTCTGTCAGCAGACAGAAGAAACTGGCAGCAACAGTAACCCGGTGACCACACAGCAAGACCATCAGCACACCGCTGATCCTACTAGAGACATGAACTATTGCGGTGCTACTCAGCAAGCTGCGTTGCAGACTTTTTACCTCTTCAGCATCTATTGAAGTTATCTAATTTTTTATTTTTTGTTTTTAAATAGGCTCATCTCACAAAGTACAATCTGGACACAATACAGCAAAGTTAGAAGAATGCTGAAGTGAAAACCCAAGCACTTGGTAGGTAATTGCTCTTGTAGGCTCATAATAAAAAAACACTTTCAACTCTTCCCTCTAAAAATAAATCCTGCTATAGATGGGCATGATTCACCACTCCTGCTTTTTGACTGAGTCCAAAATCATTCATGGATATATTTTGTCAAAATTAGAAATTTAGCTGAGGCTCTTAACAGCTCTTTTTAGGCTCAGTCTTTCATTACAAACAGGTTACTACCAACACAGGCCCTGACACAATCTTCCCCTTAAATATGCATAATTTACCTCAGATATTTACAAGCAGAAGCAGCCCATCTTTACAAGACAGACTCCCTTCTGCTTCTACATAAAGTGCAGCTCTCTAATTTAAGGCAAATTTCAGTGAAATATAAAACCATAGGTTTATTTTAGTATGTACACATTTTAAATTAAAAACAAGAACTCCCTTGAAAAGGAAAGAATGAAAGGAAAATGTTTCCAAGTTAGGGAATTTTCTGGATCTCAACACAGTCCCAATATTATGTCCTGTTGACATATAGAATTGTAAATTTCTTTTCAATAAATGCAAACTGAAAAAAAAAGTGGCAAGGTGTACAGTAATTTAGCGCCAAAGATCAGTAAAACACTGGGAAAGTGCAGATGTAGTTTTTCATGTCCCGTAGTTTCCTTTAGCCACAGTAGCATCCATCAGTATCATCTCTCTAAATATTTATCCTATAGACCTAATGCTAATCGCAGTTCTTGTAATGAGTATTTCTCATCTCCATCTGTGTCAAATTTCTTAAAGCTCTGTGACTCTTGGGCTGTAGAGCCAACCAGCTTTTGAAGATCTTCATGAGATAGTTTTCCATCAGCATCTTCAGCTGCTTTTTCAAACAAATTCTGAAGATCTGCAAAGACAACAAGGAGTGAAAAGTAGCAATATCCTATAAGCTGCTCTTCCAGTTTTACTGCACTGTGTCTTACTACCTAGTAATTAAATAAAGCATCCCCAAGCATGTAGTTCACCTTCTGCATCATCATAAGTGTCGGTAAGAGTTTATGGTAAAAATAAGCATGAACATTTCTGGATTAAGTTACATTATACTGTAAAAAAGTAATCCCTATTTCTGGCCACAACTAAGAAGCCATTCTACAACCACTAACTGCCTACAGATGCAGTTATCCTCCATAAAAGCAAGCCCTGAATGACTGTTGCTATATCAACAGCACAGATGATATAAAGGGAAAAGTGTCTATTCATTCCCTGATGCAAAGCATTGCGCTTTCAGTAGCTGAAGAGACTGAACAGCAAGATCCAGAAGCCATTAAGTTGACCAGGCAGTGTTCTCTTAAAAAAAAAAATCCAAAAAACCAAAAACCCCAAACAACTCAAAAACATCCATACTCATACCTACTCTATTTTCCTTCAGCACCCTAATTCTGCCCTTGACTTCTCTCCCCATCTCTAGAGGGCCTGGTATAGCACTCTGCTAGTCAAAACAAATTATGGATACTTACAGTGCTCACTCCTGTTTAAATCACAGTTTGTAGGTTTGGGGGGGTTTTAATTACATTTTACTTTTTTTTTTTTTTAAAGTCCATAGTTCTCAAGCTTTTAAAACTGACCTCACTTGTCCCAGAACACCCAGACACACTTCCATTGTTCCACTTACACTCATCACAATACTCAGAAAAAGGAAAGGCAAGCCTAGAAAGGACATACCTTCAATGCTGGAAATTCCTGGTACGGACAGATGTCCCAGCTGTCCGTTACTCTTTGTGTTGTCATCAGCTGACCTTGAAGCCAGCCTTGAAAGGTCTGTGGGCCTTGTTGTAGTACTCGCACTACTTTCAACTGTTTCGAAATAATTTCTATTAGTCTAATTCCACTGAAATACAGCTAGCAGAAAAACAATCTGATAAAACCGATTTATTTTTTTAATCACAGATGCTGTATGGGAAAAGAATGCTACAAAATCATTTCAGAATACAACAGTGTTTTCCCCTTTTATCAACAGCTGGAAGAACAGAAAGGAGGAAACTTTTCTTTGGACAGTTACACAGATTCATCTTTCATGCTGTACTACGAGATGTGCATTTGTAAACTTCATACAAAGAATGACTTCGAAGTACTTTCTTCTTCCCAGTCCAAAAGTGCTTAACAGCTTTGTTAAGAAAATTACCTCTGCCCAACTGGTTTGTTTTGACCTTGTCAACGTAGGCATCTATCTTCTCCAACAGCAAGGTCTAAAGCTCCAAGTTGCTGCTTAGCAGATTAACAAGCACAGTTCTACTGTACTGAAGTATTTCAAGTCTTATTTTTCCTCTGTTACACTCAAATTTTTGAAAAAGCAAAAATAGGTGTTACTGGGTATAATTTTCTACTGTGTGCCTTCAAATACAAGCTCTTGATGCATGTGAATCCTGCTATAGGCATGGAAAGTCACCTTCAGACTTTTATAGTAATACACTTTTCTGGTTTAGAGCCACTTTCACTGAAATCTTCACCAAAACCAAAAGGTACAGTCTGAATTATCCACTTCCTTTGAATTACACAAGGAAACTTCAGATTTATGGATTAATATTATACGACATTCTTACCATTCTTTGATGCCTCAACGGGTCTGTCGTTTTCTGTCTTGCCTGTGAGTGCACTGATCAGCTGAAGTTTCTCTTTTAGTGTTGATACCTGAGAATCTCTAGTTTCTGTTTCCTGTATACAAAGGAAAAAGAAAAAAAGTTCTTAAAAAGCACCGCTTCAGTAGATGGAGAAGATCAGCAAAAGAAGTAATTTAAAATATGTAAGTACTTTTGAGCGACTCGGAGGTCTCCAGGCTGATCAAGTTTAAAATTATAAACAAGGCTTTAAAATAAAATAATCTACAGAAAGACATAAGGAATAAATTCATAAGGTCTGTTAGAAAAGGTACTTCAACATGAAAATTAAGCCACTGTTTTGCAGACGCCCATTTCAAAAGAATCTGACAATTTCCTTATTTCTCATATAAATGAGCAAGACTATGAAAAATATAAATTATCATAATATAAAACAGTCAAACATACTTGAAGTGAACATTTCTACATTAATTGAATTGCATAATTATTTCAAAGGTTTTTCTGCTATGCAGACCACATTAGCCCTGCTATGTTATCCCATATGCAGTCAGAATGGCAAAACTTCAAACTATTACAGCTTTTTTACCATCCTAATTGACTTCCTGTCCCCAAACTGGGGGGAGAGGGGGCATAAACTATCCTTCTACTCTGGACTTTTTAGAAGAAAATTGATCAGATTAGCCTGCTTGGCAATCTTTGCTCAATTAAGTCTCATTTAAAATATGATTATAAAGACAATGACGTGCTCTACTAAACCGGTGTAATTTGTGTTTCCTTACTTTACCTTCAGTTCTTTATTTGCGTGAGTTTCATTATCTAGTTGATCTTCATTTTCCACTTTTAGAGAGGTAGTTGCATCGCTCCCCTGCAGGAAAAACGGAGGGGAGATGAGTTTATTCGTGTGCTTATTATTTTCTACAATACAGATCCTTTCCTTCAACTTTGACAAGCATGAAACAGGGAACAAAAAAAACAGAACAAAAACAAACCAAAAAACCCAACCCACAGAACAAATCCATGATAGAATAAACATGAAGCCAGCAGATTATGTAATTTACCACAGCAATGTCAGCATCTTCCTTATTGCTAAATATACAGAATGCATTCTCAGAGACTGGCCCCAGTAGGGCACTGCAAGGATTTACAAACATATTTAGGTTGAGGTTTTTGTTTGGTTTTTAAACATTTAAGCACCTCTGAAAAATCCACAGGCCCAAGGGTCTTAACAGACCTATGCCAGAGTGCCTTCCTAAAACATAGCTAAAGAGCTTTGTAAATCCCATCCCATCAAGTAGTCACCCAAGTCTGAAGTGTTGCAGTGTTTTGGACATTTTTCTGTTGAATCTACAGAGAAGAAATGACTGCTTCAGAGATACTCATAATGTTGGCTATCTGTTCAGAAATATGGACAAATTCCAGTGTCTAGAAAATATTGGAACTACTAGTTCAGTAATCACATACTTACCACACTGGTAGACAAGTTGTCTCTTTTGTCCAGATTACTCCCAGCAAGGGGAGAGTTTTCTAACAGCGTAACCCTCCTGCTAAGGTTACCAATGGCTGAATCCACATTTAGAAGCTTGATGTCATTCGATTTCTGGTACACCACTACAGTATTATTTAACTCCTCCAAAGCTGCACGCAGCGACTGGCTTTCCTGAAATACCAAAGCAGCACATGTCAGTTTACTCAACCTCTGCAGCGCTCTTGTTGGTAACAACGTGGTGACTGACCCAGTTTAACCAGGCAGGCTTCAGACTGGCTCCTCAGACACGGCTGAAGTTACTCCAGCTTTCAAAGTTTGAAACCGTGTTCCTTCCTCAGGCCTAACCTCTTTGTCGCTAATGTAATTGCTTCAGCTCTGCCAGCAAGCACAGAAAGCCTATTCATCTCGTTTTCCAGGTCAAGCTTAGTAAACACACCAAATATTTTTCTGAGGGAAAGCATGTCCTAGGCATATTTATACACAAGACTCATTTTTGAGGAAGATATCGAACAGATTAAATAAATGTAATCATCCCATTTCAACCCATTCAGCTCAACACCCACACATTATCTTGTTTTATTTTTTTGTCACTGAATTCTTGCTTTCCAAACCTCATTTCCTTGTGGGTGACTCAGTAAATGCCACTCCCAAATTTACTCAGTTTTCCCCTGCCATAAAATTTATTCCATAAAAAGCCTTTAACTCATTTTCATTTACATAAGAAAAGCACATCTATAATTTGTTGGACATTCGTTTCAGTCTTTTTACTCCTCATCCAGTTAGAACAAAAAAATATACTCTCAGACTTCCCTGTTTGCACATACACAGGAAAAAACTACAGCAAAATTACCTTATATTTTGTTTTGAAGGATACCGTCTGTATTGTATTAAAAAAAAAAAAATCATACTTTTTTGTAAACTACAGTACTGCAACACACACAAGTTACATATCAGGAATAGCTGTACTAATATTCCTTACACAAAGGAGAAAAATACCTTTTTGCAATTTTCTGTTTGATTTCTCTCCGTTCTTGGCACAACAGTGGAGGGAAGTGAAGGTATTGGTTTTAACTCCTTCTAAGGAAAGAAGTAGAAAATGACGTTACCAAATGTCTGTAAAAAAAAAAAACCCAAACAACTAAGCTTTTAATAACTGGCAGGTTGTAACTAAAATTACAGTCACTCATGTCTGTGGTGCATTTGGTATTTTAACTAGGCTAATTTAGAGTTTTCTCTTTTAAACATATAAAGCCCAAATTTATTTTAATTAAACCCTCCTAATTAGCTTTTCTCCTTTTAATGAAGTATTGTGATGCACGTTTCACTGTACCATATACACTGCCATATCTGCAATGTTCTTTTAGCACCCACTGACTGAATCAGATTTTATAAAGTCTTTAATTTAGATTTTATCTGCAAGTATCCTTATTAAAGTAATGCTGTATTGCAGTTTAGCTGAAAAACTTTAATTATTAGCTCAGTTTGTTAACACCAAGTGAGAGCTCAGTATAAATACAGTGAGTAGTTTCTGGTAAAGATGGTCAGTAATTTCATCCTTAATTCAACCAAGAAACTCTATTCTCAATGCTTCCACCATCCCCAATTTCAAGACAGGGCAGACAGGTACCACGAGCAGTAACCCTCATCACACAGCAGCAGAGATTCCCAAGGCTCTGCAACTGTGTAGGAGGAAGGAAAAATTTGCAGGATAAGAAGAAGAGCAGGGACCAACAATTCCGGCTCCTGAGAAATACATGCTTGGTGCCACACAGGAGTTGCCACACAGGGATTTAATTTATTTAACATACCAACCAGTACCTAGTGAAACTTCAAAAATATTTCAAAGGCATAAAGCAGAACACCACACAGAACACAGTGTTAAATCGATACATTTTCTTACCACGTCATTCTGGAGTATTTCTATGGATTTCTTGTATTCTTCAATAGCTGTCTGTATGTTTTCAACATCATGAGAAACACTGGTAAGCGTGCTACCTATGTTTGCTACAGTCTGGAATAAAGAAGATGACAAAAATCTCAGCCTTCCTCAAGCTACACTGAGCCAAAGTTTCCATCTGCTAAACGTGATGTTTTGTTAGTGAAACTGCAGGTAAGCTGTCACAAAAATATGCATGTCAATTTAAAGTATTCAGAATTTTCTTTGCAGATAAAACTGCAAATGATACCCATTGCATCTCCAGGCCAATAAACAGAGACACACTCTGCACCATGAGAGCTTAAGCTAGATGACCAAAATTACAGGTTTGCTACTCCCACTCCAAAATAATACATTGTTCTGACAATAACAAAAAAAAACAAAAAAAAAGGTAAAAATACATAAAGTATTTGTATAGGATGAGGGGTAATGGATGGAAGCTGAAAGACTGTAGGTTTAGACTAGATAGTCTAGAGAAGTTCTTTACCCTGCGAGTGGTGAGACGCTGGAACAGGTTGCCCAGGGAGGTGGGGGATGCTCCATCCCTGGGGAGTGTTCAAGGCCAGGCTGGATGGAGCATTAAGCAACCTGATCTAGTGAGAGATGTCCTTGCCATGGCAGGGGGTTCGGGACGAGATGATCTTTGAGGTCCCTTCCAATCTGAATCATTCTGTGATGATGACATCACTGTTTTATCCTGCCCTAATTGTCTTTCAGGACTACCCATCAGAGCCATACACTGCAGAACTAGTCCACCAAAGGTTACAGATTAGATTTTCAAGCAAGTGCTGCCTTTTTTAGCATCAAAGAATAGCTCTGAAGCATCAGGGAAGCCCCCGTGAATTCTGCAGATAGAGTCAGCGTGCTCTGACAGCGACTTTTGCTTCTGACTACTCCCATCTCATCCTTCCTTTGCCTTCACCTACATCAATTTCCCCCTCCTTGCTCCAGTTCTAACTTCAGAAAGTAACTATTGTGTAAAGCTGCACTGGTGTTGGAGCAGCTGTGACAGCAGAGCACCTATCAGAGTCAGATTGTCAGCTAGGACATCCACAAACACTAGAGGAAGTTATAGTACCAGGACAGAGCATGCCACTATGCTTCTCATTCCATTTTTAATACCTCTGTCAGTCGGTAAAACAAAGAAAAAAAAAATTCTTCACATTTGCTAACCTCCAGTCCACTGGGACATACACAGTTAGCCAGGATTGCTGACAGATGATTTTTTCCAAGAAAAGGCAGGAAATTTTTCACCAGGGCTATCAAAAGCCAGGCTACCCGCCTTGACTCAAGCTGTCCTGTGTGACAGCAGGTAGTGCAGCATGCACACAGAGGTCAAAAAAAATCTTAAATCTTGAAACCTATTGCTCTTCATTAACAGGACACAAAACATTAAAACTGTTATATGTAAATCTCTGAATACTTTCTCTGTTTTTATCGTATCAACCTTGCAAAACAGATGTGCAAAGCAAAATGGCATCGAGAGCACAGAGGGAACCGATGCCACATCTAACATCTTAGACTCAACAGCAGAGACTGAAAAGTTCCCAAGATCTTTGATTATCATAAAATTTGACCAAGGATGGACTTATTTCAACATGAAAAAGCCTTGCTGTTCAGCAGATCATTGCAAACTGAAACTTGTTGGCCCTAACACTTTGTCCTTACAGTACTGAAGGCAGTAAGATGGCAAGTGTTTTCTCTATTTTTATATAGATACATAAGTATGTACGTATACACAAATAAAGTAGGTACAGTTTCCAGAATAGGTATTGCCTTAAGACTTAGTTCTGATGACACAATGAAAAGCCAGCATACTCTTAACAGCAAATTAAAAGCTTAGGAAATAGCTTCGTACTCCTCCCAGAAAAAGAAATCTGAGCAGCCTGAGCAGCCAAATTCTAATTGCTTTGTGTAGGACTAGTTTGTTGATTATACATTAATTTTGTAGGGATAACAAATGAGAAGTGGAAACCCATAAAAGCCACAAATACTGGAATGCCATTAGGTGTTAGCCCAATATAAAATGTTTATTGCCAAATAAACACAACTGCCATGGAAGATCAGGGAAGCTCTGACAAGTCTCTTTTTTTTTTTTTTTTTTAAACCAAAATAAACAGGACAGTTCTTTGGTAAAGAACACTCAGCTAAGGTGCACAGTAGGAAAAGTACCTTAGAAGTATGCTTGTTGCACCCAGTAGGGCCCATCTTTCAAGGGATTGTGAGAAAACCATCCCAGTACAATTTATGCTTTGCTATGCACATACTGAACACCAAGAAAGCTCCCATGCTAATGTTCCAGACCCACCGCTCTCAAGTTGGAGCCCTGCTCGACTCAAGACTGTAAATGCAGAGCCAGATGTAGAACTCTATACCCTCAAGATGAGAAAGCTTTCCAGAAAGCAATTAATTTTCTTTTCCAATTATAAAAGCTAAACAAATCATCTCTTTGCAAGGAGAGCTGTAAAACTGCAGACAGACTTTTTGCAAGTGTCTCAAATGATATTTAGATTAGCATCTTGAAAGAAAGCATTCAGAAAGATAGGTTCCATGGTAAAGAACTGACAACATGATACAGTAAATGCATCTCCAGAAAGCAAGAAGCAATGCCGTCAAGTTCTTTACCACACGTTCCACCATACATTATCAGAGAACTATATAAAGTTCAGTTTAAAAAGAAGAGAAAGAAATACTCTTTATATGCAATCCAGGCAACTCCTACTGTCACTGCTGTCCCCAGGACCCCATCTGCATCTTAGCAGCACAGAATGCTTTCAGCAATAGCCACGTTTACAGTACTTGCCTTTTGAAGTTTCTCTACTGTGACCGGAAGCGAAATCAGATCAGAAGCAGACTTTATGTTGTTTTTGAGATGATTTACTGTCGAGGTCAACAGTGAAATCTAAAACCAAAAAGGAATATTTAGAATTAGTAAACGTAATCCTGATTCTGATCTTTCCCAATACTAATGACTTAATTTGTATCACTAAAACAAGACAAGATAAAATTATATATACACACACACACAAAACACTCCTGTGTCCCTAGAAGTCCTGCCCATGCTAAGTTAAAAATATTCTACTTCTTGCAACAGAAGCAAGATTTATTTTTTTAAACTAAATGAAAGCCACAGAAGTCTCTTCTTTTCAATAAGGTACCCTCTACCCATTTTACATTCACCTCCTTAGAGATAGGCTGTTGCCCCAGAAAGATTTTAAAAAAATTGTGCAAGAAGCTCTAACACAGAGGAAAGAGTCATTCACTTTTGTTTGCAGCAATCAAACCTGCATGGCAAAACCCAGTGAAGATATGCAATTTTTCTACCCAAGAGATGGGCAAAAAGTTCCACACATCACCCAAACCTTCCCCTGCAGAAGTGGAACAGTGACAGTCTAGGTACAATGAGTTAGCTCGATTTCTGTCAGCTGACCCATACAGCAAGTTAGTCAGATTACCGACTCATTCCAATGGAGATGTTGTCAAATAAAACCAATTATATGCTAGCCATTAATTGCTAACACTAGCACTTGAAGATCAACTTGCAGCCATCCATAGTCAAAACAAAGAAAAATAATTTCTTCTCTTTGACAACTCAAAAAATCACAGCGGATAAACCCCACTTCCTTCTGGTTTAAAAAAAGTTGTTTCACAAGCTGAGGAAATGGGCAAGATCCTAATTTTACATTCGGCCAACACTGAACAGCTAGCATGCAGAGTCTCTGGTTCCACAGCTGTGCACATTGGCTGAAATAATTCCCAGCAGCATATTCCAACAATTCATGGGGGGGGTGGGGAAATCAAAACCAAAAAACCCCCAAACAAACAAAAAAACCCCAACAGCATCTAAACTTTGATCCTCAGAAGAGCTGGCTCAGACTGTAGCTAGACCCTGAAGAAACTTGAGGGTCCATTAGAACCATGTGCAATTAACTTTAACACCCAGGTGCAGATGACAGCATTTTAAAAGTTCAATGAAGCACCCAAATCTCTGTGGATAGTGTTACATGTCAAAGAAAGCAAGTCAAACTCGCAAATATATTTACATGCCCCACTGAGTACTTACCTACTGCACTGGACTGAAGAAAAAGAAATAAATAAAAATCAATCTGAGCAAGCACCTCAGTACACTTAAAAATTAAATCCAAAGCATCAGCATCAGGCAGGGCTCCACACACACACCTTGATACCATTAACTGTGAGCAGCTCTGAGCTTTTACACTCCAAGGCAAGAATTTCAATAAGAGACTTGCTGGACGCTTTGTGTGAAGCACGAGTTAATACAGCAGCTGAAGAAACAGCTTTCTGTTAAGTGGCTTAGTTCTGGGCCCGTAAACAGAGCTAAGATTTACATCGGTTCAAATTCTGAGTATGTATTAGCAGATTCCATATTCACAAGACAAAAGTACTTCATTTGTAGCAATATGAACTTGCATTGATTCAGGTAACTTTTCCACCCTTACAGAACACTTGCAGACACTTGGAAATTTGAAACATCAAAATTTCTCATCATAAACATCACAACTGTTTGGCAGGAAAATTAAGGAATGTGCAGTTCTCAGGTTCTTTTAAGTTCTGTCTGAAGTTTTTCCACCAGTCGTGTAACTTCTCTTTGCAAACACGCTTCAGTCCAAATGGATGCTCAAAATTTCTTTGCTTGTTTAATAATCAGGCTTATACTCAATTTAACTTTAACAAAAAAAGTTTAACGTATGGTCACAGAATTCCTTAGACAAAAGCTCAGCACTGCACTTGATATTCATTTATGTAAAAATTAATTTGAATGGAATGTTTTATTATTTTTCAAAACTGAGCACTTTTCATTGATCCCTCTTACCTGTTTATTGATCTCTGTGATATTTATCCAAATTTTATTTAGCCCCAGTTCTCCAGTCTCAATTTGTTCTAGTTGCTTTTGATTCTCCACCAAATCTTCATTCAGTTTAGGAATTTCTTGGAATGATGTCTTCTGATTAGATTCCACTAAAAGAAATGAAAATATAATTAATTTTGTTTAAAAAAAAAACCACACCCAAAAGGCCACGTAAACAACACTGAAAAGCAGAAAACAAATCACAAGTACCATTTACAGCACTGAAAGAAAGCAATAACAATTTCTACGTATGGGTTTATTGCCAATTCAGAATTAAGTGTTTGTTCAGAATGACAGTTCTCTTTTGTTTTAAGAGTACTAATGTCTGCAGAGAAAATCCAAAGAGACCGTACTAAATTTAACACGTTGCAATAGTACTGTCGTGCTGGCAAGCCTCAGCAGGTCTTTATTTAGACCAGTTATTTTGCATTACTTTCACAGAGGAACATTAAATAGTAATGGGACTGTAAATAAGAACTGCCACCAGTACCAGGGCAAAGGAGAAACATGAAATGACCCTTTTCAGGTCGGCAAAGGGGCTGCTGCATTAAATTCTAAAGAGATTAACCTGATTACAGTTGTTCCGTGTGACAGAAAGACAGCTGAAAAAAAAGTGTAAGCTTACACACTAGTATCTGTTGGTAAACAAATCACTAAACAAGGGCCTTGGAAACGAAGTCAGTTGTTACTGCAATTAATATTACAGGAAGGGGGAAACACCAATTTAAGTGAGCCTCAGAAATGCAGTTCTTCCAGGTCTGCAGTGACTAAGCTGTTTATCTGCAAGGACTATTAGGCAATCCCAAATCCCTAGGTCTGGGAAACAAATAAGCAAAGCTTTTGAGATGTAGATGACGAGTTCTCCAAAACCTGTACCTCCACCCTGCAGCCCATCATATCACTCACACCAGACTGCCAAGAGCTGTGGGACCTATGTGGTAGCTGGCAGCTCCCTGAACAAATTCCCACGTGTGATCTATCAGGTCAAAAGGGCAAGCAAGGAGCGCTTCGTGCCCGTGGAGCGGGTGCCCAAACGCACACAACTGGAAAGCCGTGCGTCTCTTCAAAAACCCTCATCGCTTTTCTCGATGCAAGTCCTTACATTAATTTCTAGGTACAGGGTAATCTGCACTGATCACCTAACCAGAAGTATTATTTGGATCTTAAGTACGACCTTGAAAGGTGTATTTTAACCAAAACAGACACAGCTAATTGGGCGTGAGGTGCTTGTGTCAGATGCAAAGTCTGAGGTTCCACAGGCTCTTGTAGACAAATTAATTTCTGTTTTGCCTCTCTCACCGTGTCCTGTGAGACTCAAGAGGTGTTTCTACATTACTAGGGACATAAAGTACTACAGGCATGCTTAGCATCGTTACTAACTACTGAAGGCAAACACCACAATGATCTCTGCCTACCCCAAACATACTAGAAGCAAAGGTCTTAATTTTAAAAATAATTCATGCCATACTCAGTTTGCTCAAAGGATGACAGAACAATACAAATAACAGCATGAAAATCTGCTCTCACAGGAAAAAAAAAAATCTGGATGAGGCTTCAGAGGAAGAAAATTCTTCTCCCAAACTTGCAGTAGGACAGTTGAATCCCATGCCTTTGTCTCTCCATCCATCCACACGTGTCATCAAAGCACAATGTTACCTTCCGAAGCCAGGTTATTCTTGCCGTTTCCTATTATGTTGGTTTTAATGCTGTGCCTCATTATGAGACTCCCATCCAGTTTCTAGGCATGCTATTACACTGGCAAGGAAATCTGAGACTATTTTATCACTATGGTGAGTTATTAAATGAACAGCTTTTCTATCAGAGCTACTAAGAAGAAAACAAACACATCTGTAAGTGCCGGAAAGTAAGCTCAGAGAGAGCAATTGCTTTTAACAAAGATGTCTATGTTGACCAGGAACGACGAAACTTAACTACACCAATGCCAACAGATGCTGTCACTGTGCAAAACTTTTCCTGCCAGTACATATTTAAAGCAGATCAGTCCATGAGGAGCAGCAGTCAGCTTACCCAGAACACAGAAACAGCTGCTGCAGAGCTCTTGGGCACGCTCACAGCCACAAAGCAGCACCTGTAGCTGGAGGTATCCCCCATAACTGGTGGACACCAGTCACGGTTAACTTTCAGAGTTCAGCATCAGTTCATAAAAGCACATCAGTTCACAAAAGCACATCTATCAGCAAAGTTTTCCTCGTACTCCCAGTCAAAGAGCAGGTTCCACTTTGGCAGCCAACTCCCCACCTCACAGCAAAGTTACACGCCTGAACAGGAAGCCCTGAACACCAACAGCAACAAACTTCTAGACACATTTCCTCAATATCCCTTTTACCACAAGAGAATCAAGCCCCCTGCTTACCTCCAGCCCTAGCAGCCTCCTACTTTTTGAACTGACTTCACCAGCCTTATTTTTACGGTCATCTTCATGTTGTGGGCACAAAAATTCTATAATTAAGACCAATGCTATGGGGCAAAACCCAGAGTCAACCGCGGTGCTCCTCAGGCAAAATGTAACTCCCTCACTTTAGCGTCACTCTCTTCTGCTCCATTCACACAGCTCCTCAGCTTATCCTTGCCCTTTTCAATAAATGTGATTTTAAACACTGCTAAAATAAGGCATCAGAAGATATCTCACATTCAGAGGTGAGGTACAGAGACCTGAGAGCATACATTACATGCAAATTTCACTATCCATTATATCTCAGCGCCACGGAAGTTATAATGCTGAAATCTTACACAGATAGCAAAAAACTGAGATCTAAAAGCAAAATACTTCACGTTAACTCCCTACTTCAAAGTATTAAACATGATGTAACACCTCAACATAGGCAGCACAGCATAAAAGTTGAACAAAAACAGGTCAATGCAAGCAAGATAAACATTTAGAGGACACAAAGAAAACACGTAATACTGAAGCAACATGCAAATTGCAGCAATGCCATAGCAGGTATTAGAGGTTTTTAAATGAGCTCAAGACAAGAACATTGTTTTCCATTAATCGTTTGACCAAACTCGGCAATTTTGGAAATGTATGTATAAGTAACTACAAGGCTGCATAGTCCAGAAGATATAGATTAGTTCTCAGAAGATACAGAGGAGGCAAGAGTATGTAACATTTTCCTTAGATTCACAAGGCCTCCAAGTGTTTTTGGCTCAGAGAACTCCCCAGTTCAGAGGCAATTTGTATTTTCGGACTTTGAATAAGCAAATAGTTAACTAAAGCTTTTCACGCTGCCCAAAGCAAATGTGAAATAACATAATTACATTTGTACTTACTAGTTCGAAACTTCTCCTTTATTGCATCCAGATCCTCTTTGAGAGCCACCTGCATCCAGACCAAGCCAACACACGCTACCACACAAGCCGCAAGAATGACAAACGCGCATAACGGGTAGCAGAATTTGCAGCATCGTAGATAGTCTCCCCTGGATAATACAAAAATAACAGACTGTGAATATTCAACAGTACCTAGAAAAGTTTTATTTTACATGCTATTCTCATAAAATATGGGATAGTGCAGGAACAGCACATGGTCTGGCTGACAGGAGCTAATGAAGAGCTTTTCCAAGAATAAATAAGGCTATACAGTGAGATCAGGCTGTTACTCTCTGTTCAGTTTATCCTCAGGAGGCACATCTAGCATATCTAAGCGCAGCTGTCAGGCTTCCCTTATTAAAATTTCCTGCTAAGCTCAGATGTTAGGAACATCTGCTCGAGAGCTTGGAAGGCAGGAGGCACGCTTCAAGAACGGGTATTACTGCAACGTCATAACAAATACTTCTAGATTATCCCAGCCTGTGAAAGCCTGCATTTCTCTGCGAAGTGCCTAATTTTAGTTATTCTTAGAAGCCCATTAACAATGCTGTTACTTAACTGAAAAACCTTATTTATTAGCAAAAAAACCACATCACGTCCACAAGCCCAGCAGCACCGCACCCGCTCGCGCCACGCTGAGAATGCACAGGGAGAACCGTGCTGACATCTCCAGGACCTGCCCCTGGAGTGCTCCAAGGGCTTAAACCAG